CCTCTTTTGGATCCAAGGACTCGATATGGCTATTATTGCCGCAATGCTCACATTTGGGCAACAGAAAGCTGGCTAATTCATTTCATAACTAGATAGTTGAGCCAGAGAATGTGATCTGACGTGTGATGCGTCGGTAGAGGCTGCATTTTACACATGGGTATCTTATAAACGAGATGTCGCGAGTGTTCGCACCACCGAATATATCGTACCGTGTACGGTCCCGATTCCTTGCCGCCAGGCAGGAAAAGAAAGAATAATCGGACTTTGTCCAGAAGTTGAGAACTCTCATCGTTGCCATGCTGCTCGACCCTCATCCGCATGATGTCCGTGTCACCATTTTTGTGAAAGGGCTTTCGTACTGGGGTCGAGAGGACGAAAGACTTCCGCGTCCACCCCTCGAAGTTTGAAGGGGCTGTAGACATGTCGTTGAATACTGAGTTCATCTTTAAAGCCGCTCGCTATGGCACTTATGGGCATTCCCAAAGGTCATTTGACGGGGCTGATCCCATGGACCTCAGCTATGCTAAAGAAGAAGAGAGGATCTTCTGGCTGATAAACAGCAACGTAACATCCGTAGATTTTACAAGTGTGAGGGCACCAAGCACTTGCGCCGTCAGTGCCTAGTGTGGAAGCGCGTCAAAGTCGGCCGAGCCGCAATCCGCCTCCTGACCCGAAAGTGGGTACGAAGCGGGAAACGTCAACTCCAAGTGGGCGCAGGGCGCCCTACTAAGGAAGAACTAGGTTCTGCCGAATCTTTAGGTGGTGAAGATAGACAGGGATTAGACTTATACGGTCTTGTGGTAGTTTCCACGAGACGTGAGTATAAGCCAGGCTTGTGTGGCCTCGGCTAAAATAAGGGGCTTCGAAGAGCCTTGGTCAATATTAATTGACCCTGGAGCGTCAGGCAACTATGCTTGACGCCGGTCCCTATAGGGATGTCAGCAATATGCTGAGGCGATGAAAGCGCATGAGGGTGATGTTATCACTGTTCGCTTAGCAAGAGGTACTCGCGTCACCGTACCTAAAGTTCCGTTGAACTTAGGTGCATTTTTTTTGATTTCAAAAGTATTGAACGTTGTCTTGTCCTGAATTTGGACTCGAGATATGATCTCATCCTTGGGATGGCTTGGCTGGAACGCCATGAACCATGGATTGATTGGAGGTCGAAGACCTTAGGCGCAGCGCGCAATGTTACCAGTGAAGCTTTGGAGAGTCATGAACCCACCTTTGTCAGGCAACAAAAGCGCTATTGGCGCGCGCCACTGACGGAGTCTGTCAGTGTGCTGGAAATTGAAGTGTATGAGCTACTTAACTCTGATGTCATTGATAATAGTGAAACGGCACGTAATCCGTTGAGTGACAGTAGTTATGACAGTAGATTACTGAATGTTGGAAGCATTGATGGCTTAAAGCTGAGTCATCTTGGATGTGATCCCTGTGATGCGAGTGCAGTGGCACGTCAACATCCTCAGAGTGAGGTCAGCCGTGATGGCACCCCACGAAATGTCGGTAATGACATTATTGGCGATTCGTCAAGGCATCAAGAGCTTTTATCAGCAGATGCGAATATAGTGGGTAACTGTCCACAGAGTGAGGCCGGCCGTGAGGGCACCACACTTAATCTCGGTAATGACATTAACTCTCCGAGAGAGCAGTTTGAGATCAAAGATAATCTTCACCTCTTGGAACTGAATGTTCCTAACACGTTGGAGTGTTCAGTCACTGTACAGAGACGACAGCGACGCCAGATGGTGGTTGTTATAAGAAAAGCTTCGGCCATGTCCCTGAAGGACACTAGTGAATAGTTGTAAATGTTAATTAGTGAGGTGTCGGGAGCGATTGATAGAGAAGCTAGCCTCGAGGCCCTCCCATGATTAACGCTCTGCTAGAGCTAGACGAAATGTCTGTAGACGAATTTCGTCAAGCCTTGAAGGCTATGGATTTGTCCGATATGGTGGTTCTTTGACCTGATCTTGAGTTACACTTGTCATCCCTTGTAGATGAGACAGTCCTTGAAGACAATAAAGTTGCATTCAGTGCTCGCAGTAGATCTGCCATTTTGAAGTACCCTTCGGAACCCTTCTATCCTTTGGTAAAGGAATTTCAGGATGTGTTGTGGCATGATCCACCATCCACTCTACCGCCCGACAGAGGTGTGCGGTATGAAATTGACCTGGTCCCTGAGACTTAATACTGTGTCACACGGCAATTGTCATTGCCTTAAGAACAGTGTGACGTCTATGACGAGTTCTTTCGTGCAAAGCACGCGGCAGGCATGGTGAGGGAGAGCAAATCTACACACTAGACACCGATATTTTTGTGTCAGAAAGCCCAATGGTACGCTGTGTATTGTGCACGCTTACAATAAGCTCAATGCGGCCACTATACCTGCGCAGACACCTAATCCAAGAATTTTTTAGCGTTTTTCAGAACGCTATGGTGGGTTGCAATATGTTTAGCGCCATTGACTTGGTCGATGGTCATTACCATCTGCTCATTCGAGCGAGTGATATCCCGCTCACAGCGGTTAGCACGCCGAGTTGCATGCTTTGGGAGTGGCTTTTTATGCCTCAGGGACTTTTTAATGCCCCCGCAACCTTTAATCGTCTCGTGACGCAGTTGTTCCGCCCTCATAAAGGATATGCACAAAACTATTTTGACGACATTTTGTCCATAGCCGTGCAGAAAAAGGAAGATCAGATGTGAAAAATTACATAAAGTATTTATGAGCAGTGCTCGGGTGCATGCGCACCAACAAGATGTATGCAAATGCATCTAAATGCATTTTTGGTGCTGAAGAAATTCTTTTTTATAGGGTGCTTCATTTGAAAGCGCGGCCACGGGCAAATCCCGCTAAGGTGAAATCCATTGTGGATTGGCCAGTTCCGTCTAACCCAACAGACTTGCGTAAATGGCTTGGTTTAGCCAATTAATCAAACAAGTATAGTGCAAACAATGCTGACGTGACAAGCCATCAATAAACCTCCTTAAAAGGACGCGGTTTGGTGTTGGGACACAGTTCAGGCACAAGCTTTTCAAGCTGTTAAGGAGAGTCTTCTTCATGCTCCATTTTGGCTTTGCCTGACTCGAAGCGACCTTTCACTATCGTCTGTGGCGCATTTGATTTTGCCAGTGGCAGTGCATTGTTGCAAACTGATGTCGACGGACATGAACGCGTCATTGCGTATGAGTCTCGCCAGCTAAAAGATGCTGAAAAGAAATATAAAAAAGTAGTTCATGACTAGGAGTTACTTGCGATGAAGTGTGCTCTTGTCAAATTCAGAGTACATCTTCTTGGCTCCAAGCCGTTTGCGATTTACACGGATCATGCGTCGTTGTGCACTGCGACCCATTCGCCTCATCTCCCGCAACGTATGGCCCGTCGGCTTTCATTCTTTGCTGAGTAACACTTCGAGGTGAAGTATAAACCAAGGAAGCAAAAGCTTTGGTCGATGCGTTATTACGCAGGCTGAATTATGAGCTTGCTCATGTTACGACTCTGTCGTGTCTTATCCCTGATTTAATGCGTGCGGCTTATGCCAAGGATGATCCGTGTGTCGCGTTGTTACGCGCACTCGGTGGTGATATGTTTAAAGCCTCGGACATTAAATTGTCGGCACGCTCGCGTGCAGGACTACATCGACATTCTTTCGATCATGGCCTCTTGTGCTTTAGCACGGATGCGACGGATAATCCGAGCATTGTCGTACCTCACGATGAGGAATAAAAATATCGTATCCTCTTTGAGGCGCATGATACAGCTTTGAGCGGCATCTCGGTCTAGAGAAGACCTATGGCTCGTTCAGCCAACACTATTGGTGGCTTAAATTATATAACTGGGTGAGCACATATGTGCGTACGTGTGAAAAGTGTCAACAGGTCAAACCCTCCGCTCTTGCGGCTGCAACTTTGGCGAGTTTGCCTATACCCACAGGTTGTAAAGAACTCATCATTATGGACTTTGTGTTTGGTTTGCCAACAGATTTGGAAGGCAACACCAATATTGTGGTCTTTGATGACCATTTGAGTACGATGACCCATTTGGCGGATGTGCGGGCTTCTATCGATGGTGAACGTACATCACAGCTGTGTATCGATCGCGCGTTTCGTCAACACGGTTTGCCTTTTGCAATTGTTTCAGATCGCAATCCTCGCTTTACGGGAAATTTTTGGAAGTCGGTCTTCAAGGTGCTCGGCACCAGATTGGACATGTCCACCTCGGATCATCCGCAGACCGATGGTCAGACTGAACGCGTTAATCGTGTCATTGGTGACATTTTGCACAGCGTTTGCGCAGATAAGCCTCGGCGTTGGAGCTCTGTGCTTCCGGTAGACGAATTTGCCATAAAAAAATTCGGTTCCTGCCTCGACTGGCTACACTCCGTTCTATGTGAACGGCCTCACCCATCCGCGTGTCCCATTGACGCTACCTCTCCGTGGTTCCGAGATTGGTGGGGAAGGGATTGCTGATCGGCTTGCTGATGTCAGCCCTGCCACTGTTCAGAAACAGGGCGGTGAGTTCCTTGCAACTAAATTGAATGTCTTACGACATGTGCAAGATGCAATGGCTGATAGCCAACATAAAAAATGGAACGAGCAGATGCCAAATGCAGAAATTGTATTGAAAGGCATAAGGTCGGAGACCAAGTCTTGCTAAACGCTAAAAATCTACCAACAAATGTAGTGTCAGCTGTTTTTAAAAAGGAGTTGCGTCCGCACTCATTGGACCTTCACGGTCGTGTCCAAGAAAGGCCTTGCGTATACGCTCAACTTGCCGCGCAAATTGCGTACACATCCCGTCTTTTATGTCGGTCTAATTAAGCCATACCGGGACCCTCCCATGTTGACTTGAAGGCGCTTGCGCCGCGTACATTGGCGTTGCCACAGGATGTTGCATCAGAATTTAGAAGTCAAGTTGAGCCTCGACACAAGTTCTGACGTTACTCCATCACCTGAAGTCGGGCGAGATCGCCTTCCAACGTCGCCAGACGGGATCGGGCTTAGTACAGAGCGTTCTGAGTCTTACCCAAAGTCTCACGTAGATCCTTTACTTTCTTTATGAACTCAACTTGGCTTTCAGCCGATACTCCGACCGCCACCCGCGTTGCTGGATAAGCAAGGGATCTTACAGCTCCATGTGGAGAGGGTACTTCAACGACGTCGTCGTCATGGTCACTACCAATATCTGTTGAAGTGGCCTGGGTACCCTGAGTCTGAAAACTCATGGGAGCATGAGGTTCCCCTTCGGCAAGACTACCCATGCGCCGTTGACCTTTTTTGAGCGCCACGGCCGAGCTCGTCTTCACGAGTGTCATGCTTCTCAATCGTCGTAGTAAGAGCGGGCGAGTTCGTGTCAAAAGATTGACGTGAACTCGTGGCTGCAGAGGCAGCTAAAAATGTCGGGAGCGTGATAATCCCGCAGACGGCCTCTGGACTTTAACTTTGCAAAGTCATAGCGAAGCTTTCGCTCCAGACGAACGTCTGTCACACTGGCACTTTCGCCGTAGCGCGTGCTTGCTACTGAGGTGTCGAACGTCATGCACCCAGCGGATAAACGTATTGTCCTCCGCAGTTTCGTCCCCATCTTCGGACACAATGATGGGTAAACCCCTAATTTGCGGAAACCGGTGTTCCTGGGGCCTGCTTTTGCAGCCGTTCTCTATATTGACTCAAAGTCATCAGAGTAGTTTCCAAGTACCTCTCTCGAAGATCTTTGCGGCATTCGATTTCAGTGGTCGTTATTGCCTCGAGGCCAGTGGCCCATGTTACCAAATAATGGCGTGACGCTTGACAAATTATTTCTTCCACGCCAGGTGGAGTGAACGTATATCCACCGTGTCGTTTCAACGTTGTCTGAACTTCTGACTTGTGCTGTGCGCTTGCCGCTTGGTCGAGCATGCGTTGTTGCTCCTCATGAAGCGGGTAAGCGATAATGGATGTATCCATGTGGGACATTGCTCCCAGCGCTGTTAGCGCAGTCGCGGCACTACGTTCGGGAATCGGATTAGGTGCAGGATGTGGAATGTCCCCATGCACAGGCGTGTTGGGTTTGGATTGCTTCTCCCTCTCGACTTTGGTATCACCACCACTGTCATAGTCCACTTCCTCGACACCAAGGAATTCGGCTAGAGCCTTATCTTCCAGGAGGTGTCCAGGTCGTTCCGTGTGAGTGTATTACTTTTGTAAAATATCTCAATGGGAGAATAAGTCGAGTGACGTTTGTGGAAACGTCAGTCCGGTTGGGAAGGGTGTAACGGGGTCACACTATCCTTTGGCTAAATTGGTCAAAGACAGCCTATAAATGATATCGATGAATGTGTGTGACCTTAGATTTTGTATCAGCAAGAGAATATCGATTGATCGATGTTTATTGATTTACGGTACTTACCGTGTACGTACTTTGTATCGTCATCATTTGATGACGGAGTGATGTGCCAGCCATCAATTTAGTTCGAATACTAATATCTGTATAAGTTCTAGTTAGTATGATATAGGGTACTTAAAGTAGGATTTTCCTTGATGTAAAATCTGAATAAAGTTCAGTTCTCATTTTGAGCAGAAGTCCCTGGACCCCCCCCCCTTTTCGCACATTGTGCCCTGCAGTTCCTTAGAACTGCCGTAGCTTAGAAAGTCCTTAGAATCCAATTCCCCTGCTCATTGTAATTGTCGCTCTCCAGAACTACACAGTAGTTGATCTATTAGCTCGTAAAGTCCACCCGAGTTCCGTAGAACTGAGTGACTCGTTATCTTGATAAATTAGTTCCGTAGAACAAATAGGCTGTCAGCCCGTAAGCCGTTGGCTTGTAAAATAAGTCTTTCTCTGACTTAAAGGGCTGTGTAGCTCCGCTACAGCTTTTCTCAGGCTGATAAAGGGAGTTCCTTAACCTCTTGTTGTGCGTTTACTACTTGCGGTCGAGCTGCCTCAAGCGTTGTTATAGAAGGCGGCGACAAAATCGACCCCTGGTTTTATCGTCAGCGTTGTTCCAGCTCTTCATAAGCACCACCAAGTATGTGGTTTAGCTCCCAAATCGCCTGCGTGCGCTGGACGTTTGCCTTCGAAACACTGGAGGACGGTGGAGTTCATAGGACTGTGGGCGATTTTTCTTTAGTAACAACCGCTGCCTTGGTCGGTTGAGTTGGTTTCTTGTTGTCAGTATATGTGTTTTCAAATAATAATCCGGGCAGAATCCTTTGACTTCGGGAGATGTGACTTTCTTAACCCTAATTTTTGTTGAACTTCGACTGATTTAGTAGCTTTATTAAAGGTCTTGTCGCCCGTCTAGACGAAGCCGCTGCGAGGCGGACATCCTGCTTATTTTTTTCGCGCATGAAATAAACCACTCGTTTGTCATTCAACCACTGATAAAAGTAGCCCCGCCCCGATCGGTTTAGACACCATCAAGCAGGAACGCGGTGTAAACGGATGATTGCCCAACCTAAGGAGGTACCTGTGTGGCCTTACTTAAGAGAGGGGCCTTCTTGCCATCTGCCATTAATTTCGCCGTGGTCGCCACCAAAGTATCCGTTATTCCAAGCACATGATCCAGGTTACCGGCAGCAATCAGGTGTGTAAACGTCAACTAACTGACGTGAGGAAGAGCTAGTGGAACACCAGTGAATTCTCAGTGACGCTGAACTTGAAAAGCGCCGTTGCGTCCGCCACTTTATGCTCTCTGGTGATATCGCGAGTCGCAGGAGAAACAGGGAGCGCATTGAAAGAGAAGAAACGGGTGAGAAGGATCTCCTTGTCGGATGTTGCAATGTGCTTAATCAACTTGAGTTGGTTGGGAGATGACTTCCTGTCGAATGTCTCCACGAAAACGTAAAAAACATACATCTCCACGCTTTCTAAGCACATACGAGACATGGATGTGACTGCACATGCTACGCTGGACACTAAAATAGATAGAATAGTGCTTGCCCCTACTCCATTGCCTACCCCCGGACTTAACAGTGCAATTTGTGTCGGTTATTTAACGTGGGTGATAGCGAAGCGGCAGTATGTCTTCGCGGTCCATAGTAGCCGGACGCAACAGCTAAAGACAATTCCCGCGGAACATAATCGTCTTTGCATGCCAGATCACTGCTGCCACTAATACGGTATAATGTTTGTCAGTCGTCTCGTGGCGGTATCGTAAATGGCCCGCTTAGCACCTTTGACCAATTTTCGACTCATGACATAAGATTTCGTCGGATCCTCACTGCGTTCCAAGAGCTGCAGTAGCAACGTTTTCCCAGCGATGTACTGAGGCATGCGCACGTGCGGAAGGAAAAATCGCAGGTAAGCTTCGAAAAAAACGAGCATCACAACCCGCGTAGTCCTTGGGTGCGTGCACACCAAAAACCTAGGCGGAGACTGGAGCCAGATGGCCCATATCATCCAAGCCGCGAGAGCCTCCTCTTCAAGTGGATCATCAATCGGAGATCATCGTCCGATATGTCGGTCCACACTCTTGTAGCTGCCCGCACCGGCACACGGTCGTAGTCAGCAGATATGAGCTGACTACTATCCTCGTTATCTTAAGCGAAAAGTCCCGGACCCGGCCCGTCTATCGTGCCGGCCCTACCCTGATCTGGTTTTGCTCTCACCTGCCCGGGCCCTCAGACACCACCAAGTGAGGCTCAAATTCCAACCCGATATTTCGAGATCGAGCTTTAATGTCACAGGTGAAAACTTTCGCGACAGGCGAGGACCCTACCTGAGGCCATTTCCCTAGCGCACCTAGTTTTGTAGCCACTTAAAATTGACCCTTTCTATCGGGGAAAGATTCAGCTACTGCGGACGCGTATTAACACCGAACACAACAATTCCCTTAAATAGACACCGTAGGTGGGAATCCGGGGCTGCCTATCCATGCTTAGAATTGGTCATAATTCCCTTGCACATCCCCTATTGTCGCATCTAGCCTCGTCTTTTCCAATCGCGTGGGCCCCCCCTCGCTCGACGCGGTCATGGGCACACTCAAGCCTCCTTCCTCGGCGTTACCACTTGCCACGTTCGAACGGTGCACGATTGCTCTGTCCATATCTTCTCCGTTCCGGAAGTCACCGCGCTATCGGATCGGCGACGGCTTTCTAAAGGGAGCCGATTCGCCGGTAAATGCGCGCTTATTGCGTTGACACACTTCCCTGTGCCACAATAATTTTAATTGCGTAATTGGTCTCAAATCTGGAAGACAAATAAATTATGATGAAATTATGGCACAGAAATATATTAGAAACTTGTCTTAATCTTTTAAAAATCTACAAGCCCTGTGATGACTGACCAGAAGGTGTATATGCTGCAGGCCGAGTTACACCGAAGTGAGCTTCGAGAAAAGAGAAATGACCGCAGTCAGTTTCATACAGTATATATATTTAATTAGGACTCAACTGGCGGATTTGATTGCTCGTGTAAACGACCTGAAAATGGTAGATCGCATATTTCAAAGTCTACCTGCTTAGATGTATAATAATGAATGGCAAAAAAGGGTCGTTTAGCTGTAAATTATAGAGTACGAGACAGAGATTCTTCAAGAAATGATTATAATTGTAGAAGAATGATCGAAAAACTGGAAAGGAATTGGCTATGTTAAGCAACAGCACAAACAGAAAAAGGAATTATGTGAGTTAGATGGGTCTGTCACGAATAACTAGGATGTTAGCACAAGGAGTTAAACAGTGGCCGAGCTAAGTGTGTTGGTGTACCGGGGCAACCTGAAGCTTGTACTGATGACAGTACAAGCTACTTACTCTGACGACAGAATAAGGCGGTGCCTCGGAACTTCACGTACACTCGTACGTGCAGAGGAAGACGGTAAGAAGAAGCGAGTACTTAGTTTAAGTAAAAAGTAGAACTGTATTTAGCATAGTTAATGTCTTTTAATAAATCACTATTTATCCTCATCTAACTATGTCTGAATACAAATGTGCATATCAACTATCTGCTCACCACTCATTGCGTGCGTCTATCGTGGCGCGTCTTCGTTGGTTGATATAATGGCCTATATCAACCAATTAGGAACTACTCGTAAGTGCTACAGAATATTGTCCTTATGACAATATTCTGAGAATATAACTCTTATAGTTATATTCTATTAACAATTTCTTATAAATTGTTTGTAACGATTCTCCCCGTTACATCACCCCTCCCTTAACCATAAGTCACATTGGTGACTGATTGACTAAATGGATACTCGTCCCAAATCAGTTGGGACAGGGTTTGCACTTGTTAGTCCGAGTCCACTTTCCAACATCTCATCGCATGGTTAACAAGCCCATGCGATGCGCGAGCAAGGCCGCCGAGAGCGCGTCCGCACGTCTCTGTGCGGACGCCGAAGCAGAAACCACAGCAACTGATGTCTCATCGGTTGCTGAAGCGACCCAGCCTGTGTCACTTGGTGATACAGGCGCTCGTCATGAAGACACTCATGTCTTCACAGAGTATGAGCTCGGTGTCTCGTTCTCTCCTGATACGGAAGACGGATCCGTATCGACGGCAATCGAATCCAAGCCGCCTGACAAGCGTGGCATGGATGATGCTATGCGTCGTAGCATCTTTGGTTCATCTGATGAATCAGATGAACCATCGCCAAAGCGAAGGCGCTCGAGATCGCGAGACTCGGGCGCTAACAGTGGTGTCGATTCTCCTATTGACACCACTTTGCAACGAGGTGCCAGTACTTCTGTCGGCACGTCGCAAGAAGATCGGGACCGCAGTGTGTTGCGTCTCGCTCCTGAGAAGAAGTCATGGATGCCTCCAAAATCCGTCATGGATCACTTGTCGGCGACGACGAGTGATCGTTATCGAACACGGTTGTTCGATTCGTCAAGGATCCATCACCTTGACCCCAGCGCGAAAAACTATCGCGCTGAGAATGATTTCTTCATCGATGCTTTCTTTAGACATCGATGGTACAGTGCGAATCACAAGCGTGATGGTCCCTCACTGCTTCAGGCGTGGAACGACTACATCCATAACCTTGAGGATGTAGGTCGTGACGTTTGGAACGACAAACTTATCAAAGCTCGTGATAAGTTTGAAAAGCGAACCCCGACAGGTGCACGCTACAAGCTGCATCGTCTGTCTAGGGAGAAAGGATTACCCTGTCTCTCTTGGGGAGACTCGCGCCCACGTTGTGTGAACAATTCAGCACGAGCACCTAAGGAGGCTTACCTCCTTACCAGCCCGTGGTGGCGCGTACGTGTCTCTACTGAGATGTACGAAGGGATTGACACCTGAAATCCTTTTATGACCGTGCCGGGAAGACTTTCTCCGGCGGTCCTTCTGCAGCACAGGATGTGCCGCGTCGTACTGCTCTACCAGACCCAGAAGTCAACCATCAGTTGGGAGCGGGGCTCTCAAGTATCCCAGGACGGGGGATAGCCGCGCCACCGGACGAGATAACTCGTCCGACGTCCGTTCACGTCGCGGTGGTTCAACAGCTGCTCAACTAGATAGCGCTGGCCACCGCGAGAGTCCTCCAATGGAGGTGGAGGAGGAGGGAAGACGTTCTCCACACAATCGTGGGGATCCGTGTGTTCCCGAGAGCTTCTTTGATCGCGTAACGCAAGGGGTTACGCGGCGATCTCGAACATGAGCGGGACGGCGCGTCTCCAACTGGTGGCCACTGTCTTGAGGCATCGAGCTGAGTTTGCCTTTGCTCAGCTTGAGAACGAGAGAGATCTGACGTCTCTGCGTGACGAGCTAAGGGTAGCTCGTGGGAATGTTGATCGGTCTCGGGCTGAGATAAATGCTCTTCAGACCCTTGTCGATGCCCACCATCGGGAGCACAAGGCTCTCTGCGAGATGCTTGAGTGCAAGGGCGTTCTTCATCGGAAGAAGCAGCGTACTGATGGTACGGCTTAAGCCGACCAACGTAAAATGTGGGATGCGTTCGCATCTTACGTGGCAACTCGATCGTGTATGCATTGCCTAGGCGGTGCAATACACGAAATGGGCCGATGTACTTGGGTAGAAGTTAACTACTACCCAAGTTAGTCACTACATGCTTTGGTAGGTTAACCGTAGACAGTAGGACTAAGTCACCTTTATTAAATAAAAGAGTGTTTGCCCTTCCATTCTTGTCAGCGTATTGCTTTTGCTTATCCACCGCTTCGTCGATGGAGTCTTGCACAAAACGGACTACCATTTCACGAGCCAATATGAACTCATCTGATGACTCGTTAGCTTCAGTGCGCTGTGAGTGCACTGCGGCAACATCAACCTTTTCTTCAGTGAGGGCTTCCGCACTCTCACTGGCATCATCTTCTTCGATGTGGATGTAGTCGATATCGGCATCAAACGCAATGACCTCTTCGTCAGAGCGTGATGAGCGTGAACCAAATTGGGTTTTGCTCGCGCGAGTCCCTCCCCCCCTTAAACCAAAGTTACACTCTAGTAAGTTGGGTACACGCGAATGGCGTAAGCCATTCACGTAAAACGGTGTATGTGTCGTGGACGCATGCACCGAGTTGTTAATGGCAAACTCTACCATTGGAAAGAACTCACTCCAACTCTTTAAGGAGTGTACGTATCCTCGACGTATCTCTTCAAGGACACGATTGGCGCGTTCTGTCTGACCATCTGACTCTGGATGATCAGATGTCGACATCTTCAAGCGCGTTCCGAGTGATTTGAACACGGAACGCCAGAAATCAGCAGTGAATCGTGGATCTCTGTCTGATACGAGTTCACGGGGCAACCCATGAAGTCGGAAGATGGTGTCAATAAAGACACAAGCACAGCCGCTTGCCGTGATTGTCTCTGGTACAGCCACAAGGTGTACCATTTTGCTGAATCTGTCAGCAAATGCGAGAATACCCGTATTCCCGCGTGCGTCTTTGGGTAACTCGAAGACGAAATCCATTGAGATGGATTCCCAGCACTCAGCCGGAACCGGTAGAGGCTGTAAAGGTGCACGCAGTGAAGGACTTGACTTCACTCGTTGGCAGACTTCGCATGCGCGAACATACTTTCGCACAAACTGATACTGGCGGGGCCAGTAAAAGTCTCGACTTACCGTGAGATATGTTTTCTCCCGGCCACGATGTCCTCCTATAGGAGCATCGCGATACTCGAGCATGATCCGCAAACGCAGATCAGTATCATCTGGAATGACAACACGTGGTGTGTCACCAGAAACGGCTGTATAATACAGTAAACCGTTGTGAGTAGTGTATCGATCTGACGCAGATCGATACGCAGACGATAATCGTTCCAACGATTCTCGAGAAGGTTGTGAGAGATGTGTCAACAACTTCACCATCTCACCATCTTGGGCGTATGCCCGCCTCACATCATCATGCGACGTTGAAGATGGTATGGTGGACGTCATAACCGCAACTGTGGCTGTCTCACTGTTAGGTTTCACGACTGGTTCAAAGTCGGGACGACGGGAGAGTGCATCAGCGACGACATTAAGTCGTCCTGGTTTGTACTCGACCGTAAATTTGTATTCTGCAAGGAATGACAACCACCGCGTCATTCGTTGTGAAAGGTGAGGGCTGTTCACTGCCGTGCGTAATGACGCATGGTCAGTGTAAACAATGAAAGGTCTATCTCCTAATAGATAGACTCTGAACTTCGCGAGTGCATACTTCATGGAAAGGAGTTTCTTGTCATGCACTGGATAGTTCCGCTCAGCTGGTTGCAGCTGACGCGACTGATAGCAGACGACGCGTTCAACGCCTTCAAGATCGTACTGCATTAATGCACAGCCGATTGCGAAATCGCTGGCATCCCAGACCACATGAAATGGCCTGTCCTGATCGGCTATTGCTAAGACTGGGGGTTGTATCAACCTCTGCTTGATACCATCAAAGGAGCGCTGACATTCAGCGTTCCATAACCACCTCTCGTTCTTTTTCAACAAACGAGAGAGGTGCACAGTCATCTCGGCGTAATTGCGTGAATACTTATGCAAATACGCCGCTAGCCCAAGGAATTTTCGAAGACCTTTGACATCAACCGGCACAGGCCAGTCGGTGATCGCCTTGATCTTTTCGGGATCAGGACGTACACCGTTCTTACCAACGATGCACCCAAGAAGTGGTATTTCGCTGGCTGCAAATGTACACTTCTTGAGGTTTGCATACAATTGATGCTTTCGCATGATTGTAAGAACCTGTCGGACGTGGTACCTGTGAACCTCAACATCCGACTTTCCATCCATAGCCCGACTATAAATGAGTACGTCATCGAAATAACTCGGCGCGATTTCTCGTACTGGTCTCAACAGATGTGTATCACATCTGTTGAACGTGGCAGGGGCATTACTAAGCCCTTGTGGCATTACTAGCCACTCCCAGAGCATGCCGCTAGGCGTGCTAACTGCGGTATAGGGTATATCCCGTTCTCGCATAAGGATTTGATAGAAGCCATCCATCAAATCCATGGACGAAAAGATGGTACTCTTTGACATACCATCAATGATTACGTCCTTCCTCGGTATCGGCGTCTGAGCCGGTACCGTTGCAGCATTCAACTTGTTGAACGCATGCACTATCCGCCACCCCCCTGCTGCTTTTCGCACACAGAAGGTCGGAGAGCTATGTGGGGAAGTTGATTCCCTCACATGGCCCGCAGCTAAACGATCGGCAAATAACTTGTCGATCGCAAGTACTTGTTCACGAGGCAGTGGCCACTGCTTCATGACACAGTACTTCGAGCCTGGTTTAAGCTCTACCTCGTGTCGAATACCTTTATCCTTCGGTAATTTGCACGGAACAGTTTCAGGGAATACATCCTTGAATTCAACCAAATCTTCATAGAGAGGATTTGTCTTGAGCGATTCCCACGATTGGGAGTCATATCGCTCAGCTCGTGTATTTTCATCGAGGACGCTCTCGTCCAAAGATGAACTACTGAGAACTCTCTCGTTCTCAGTAAACACTGTTGCTGACCTTATGTCGGCTACAACTCGTCGTCAACAACGAGTACGCAGATCTGCTTGACTTTGCCACTACGCAGATCACGCAAGAACCTTTTGAGTTCGAGCGTTGGCAACTGAGTGATCTCCGAAGTCAACTTCGGAGGCGCAATCAGATCAAGTGTATAAGCGCCTACACTTGATCCGTCATTGACTAGGACATTCAATGTCTCTGTTATTTCCTAGGGACTTATTCCCTCAGGCTTCGAAGGACTTATTCCTTCGGCTTCCCGGGGACTTATTCCCGCGGGTTTCGGGAAACTTATTTCCGCCGTATTTGTAATATTGGGACTTATTCCCTTAACCTCCTCTAGCTGGGGTTGCGCAACCACAGCGAGATCCTCTACGAAAGACTCTCCAGTCGATCTAGGATTATCGTTTCGCTTAACCTGAGCGATCGATTGTTTCTCTTCTAGATGTTCCCTGCTAGGGATACATCTTTGTCCCGGTCCACTCGACTTATTCGAGCGGTGGACCTCCGGCGCAGTCTGTGTTTCCTCAGAGCCGCCGGAACTTTGCTCCGAAGTGTAACCGTTTGTTGCACTAAGGTTTTGTGCAGTCGTACTAACGACCGTACCACAAGTGAGGCCATCGCACTCACTCGTAGTACATCCACTCACTCGTAGTACATCCACACGCTTGTGGACGCTCCAAAACGTTCATCAGATGGCCATCTGATGAACAAGCGGCAGGCATCGTTACTGTTCGATGTTGCCAGTTTACCCGTGGTTCGTACCTTCTGAGCCACGGTATTCCAAGGATGACATCAAATTTGTCATCCAAATCCAATAAGATAAAGTCATCGTCATATTGGGTGTCTTCTAGCGTAAAGTGGATCTTCACTAATTGCTTCATGACGATTACGGATGCGCCTGTCGCAAGACGTACCGTCATCCTCGTAGGAGGTGTGTTACATTCACTGAACTTAAAGTGACCATCTTCTAGCGATTGGTGTTGCAAAAAATTGTTAGACGCCCCACAATCGACTAGAGCTCGAAGGGACAACTATTTGGCACTTCGAGTTTCAAGGTAATGAGTGAGATCTCATTACCTAAAGCAGCAACGCACAACGTTTGTGTGTTGAGAGCAACCTTCATCAAGAGGCCCACAAATTTTCTTGACGTTGCTGGGCCAGTAGGGTGCTCCGCACCTACTAATCCTGTCCGTTTTTTTACGGTCCATCCCGTTGTTGCGTCTTTGCACCAACGGCGGACCCTCGTCCCTGCCCCTTTCTCATGGGTGGACGGTCACTACGCCCAGTGTTGCGAGACACTGGACGAGGGGCACTACACTTGTAAGCGTAGTGTCCTGTCTTTTGACATCTGTTGCATTTCTGCAACTTCTTGTAGTCTGTAGAGCGAGCCTTCTCGCTCTCTACATAACAGAGTTCCATCGGCTCTGGACCTCCGCTGTCATATCGTCTCGGTTGACGATATGATGTCGAGCTGGCGCGAGCCTGTCTCAGACTGAAGTCTGCCTGTTCCGCAATGGAAATGGCTTGTTCTAGTGAATCTAGTTCAAGTCGGAACAGGTGAGTCTTGACGGGACCATCCGCAAGACCCTGCATGAACACCGAAACCAACGTGTGTTCATCCACCGGATTGGAACTTATACAACTCGTAAGATGTCGTATATGTTGCGCGTAAGCGTGCACATCACGCTTTCCTTGTTTGAGCTCCAAGAGTTCAGTTCGAGCTCTGAACTCAGCTCTAGGCGGTTCAAACGTTTGTCTGAGCCGCGACTTGAAGATTTCCAACGACCCAAACGCATATGGGTCGTGCAACTTGAGCCCTAGTGCCCAAGTCTTGGTACATCCTGCCAGATTTGACTGGGCAAATGCAACTTGCATATCCCCGTCGTCGATGCGACGCGCCCTTATGGCGTCATCCAATTCGACGAACCATCTCAAGAGGGAGTCTTCTTCGACCCCCCTATACTT